TGAGGAGCAGCAGTGGGGAGGAAAGCAGACACACCATAGTCACAAAAGGAAAATTCTTCTCCTTATAATGCTGTCCCAAGATTAGTTTTCCTACAATGTGGTATAGCCTGTTGTCAGGAATACCTTTAGTATCGTCATCTCCAGAGCATGCAATATGTTCTGAAGATAAGCAACCAAATGTCTGGAAAAGCTGGCATCCAGTTATGGTGCACTATTGAAATGCTGCTRCTGCTTAAAACTTGGTTGCGTGTACTTGCACATTTTGGTATCCTTGTCTATAGTTTCGTGGCCTTGTATCATACAAGAAATGCGTTGTTTGCTCCTAGTTTGAAGTACAGGGTTCTGTTTGCCTTTTTAGGGCTGTAAAGCTGGTTTTATAAGTGGTGCTGCCCCTGAGTACAGGCAGATCCTAAGACTTGCTATGCAGAGGTCTAGCATACTGAAGATCCTAATTGAGTACTCCAGGGGCACTTTTGCTAAAGCCTGAATATCTTGAATTGTCTATCAGTTAAGGGATTTAAGCYTTCTAAATTGCCCTGACAGGTGATTGCTTGAGGCCACAAATCAGAAGGGAGGATTTTCATCCCACTAAAGAATTTGTAGAAGATGCAGTCTGGATAGAGGAGCTGATCTCCAGTAGGTGAAAGGGAGTATGTCACTGCAGCACTGGTGAGCATTGAGGTGCTAATCTGGGTAAAAACCGGCTGAAATAATTACCTGTGACAGAAGCAGTGCCTTCTCATTATTCTCAGGCACTTGAATCTATCTCAAAACTAAACCAATCATTTCCCTCCATCTTAATTTCTTCTTTGTAAATAACAACATCATTCAGTTGAAAAAAAGTATGTAGATGCATCAGTGGTATGTGCAACAATCTGAATTAATGCTGAATAAGCTCATTTTCCTAATAGTGAGTAGTTTACTTTGTAAGCAGCAACTTGTATAGCTGAAGGAAATAGAAAAACTTACTGTATGATACCCTGACATTGCACATCTTCCCACCTTCTCTGAAGACTACAGATTTTCTTGTTTCTTCTTCTGCCATACTGATTCCTGGATATTGAGAGGTTTGAAAGGAAACTGGGGATTAGCAGCAGTGGATATTTTAGTTCGGATGTTGCCCTAAAAGAAGGCAGAGTGGACTAAGCTGCCTCAGATTGAGGCAAGGACTCACTTGAGATGCAACAGGCCACTCTCTCTTGCTTYCTTCCAGCAGATGCCTATCTGTAAAAGAGAGACCTTTGCCAATACTTTCTTGTTGTGATTTCCTCATCAGGAACACTGAGACACCTTACAGGTGACAGAGAAACAGACAAACTCTTCTTAAGTCCTTCACTTCAGAGGTTGCTTCTCTCCATTTTCTGTACAGAGCTGGAAAACTCCTGTGACTTTACATGGTATGATTAATTAGCCTGGGTCAGGTACCTACTTCAAGTGTTGCAGCCTTGAGTTAGTGTCAAGTTAGGTGATCTGAAATGTCTCAAAAATTACTTAGTACATAACATGTAAGCATAGTTATCTACCTTCTGGAGATGGAATATTGTTAAGTTTTACCAAAAAAGCTTTATCATTTGTGCTTATTGCTTGCCTCTAGTAACTTTAGGGCGCTGTAGTACCTTCTCTATTGATACAGGCTCCACAAGGAAAGCAGAAAAAAAATTAATCTTGGGACAACCACTCTGATAGATGACTTAATTTGTTTTCAGCTTTTTTTTTGCTTTTTTTTTCCCCCCAAATATCCAAACAGTGTTTGTTATTTGTGCATCACTTCAGTAATATAAAAATACTCTGATTTGAAGTAACACTATAAAAATTCCTTGCAAAACATGTATTGCTATGTTTTTATTCCCAAGAGTAATTTGCAGCAAAGTGAAAAAAAAAATCTTAGGTCATGTGATTGGTAACATGTAACTCAGTTCTGACAGGATTTTAAGAGGACAGAAGAAGTTGATGAGTTACTGGAAAATTAGTGGTTTCGAGGAAATCCTGGGGTTTTTTTTCACTACATTACTGACCATTGTAAAGTGAGTATTGACAGTAATTATATCAGACCCCACGCACTGCAGATGAGCAGACTTATTTGCCCTAATTTACATAGGCATGATCCAATGACATAGAGTAGCATTACTCTTTGGAATTAGGTAATTTAAGTCTTATACCACTAATTTAACTTTCTATTATATTTAGCAACTTGTACACTTTGTAGATGCATTTTTTCAGTTTAAAAAGACTTCTGACTGATCATAGAATATGGGGTGGGGAAGGAGAGGACAGCGGTTGGTATGTCAAGATGCATCCAAAATCATGGAAGGAAAAATATTTCATAACGTATTAATCTATTTTATTTGTAAAACAAGAGGATGAAGTTTTCATGATAGCTAGCAAATCATCCAGGACTCCGATCATAGTGGAAATGGGTAAGAATTAAACAGCTGTTGAGAAAACAGGAATACTTTTCAGTAATTTTAGTGTATTTGCTGTTGACCTCTTTTTGCTATGAAAAGTCAAGAAGACTTCTATATGGCAGAGACTGTGATTTAAAAGTGGATGTGTGACTGAAAACATGAAAGTTGAGGAAAGTTTGGGTAAATGTGCCTTAAGTGAGAGTTTATGGTTCCTTGTAACAAAAAGAGGAAAGAATGTTGAAGTAAAAACAATGGATTTTGTGAAAGAAGGCTACAGTAAATACAGAATTGGGAGATAAGATCTCTTCAGCCAAACCTCAGGGGGAAAAGGAATTAAGGAGATGTGATGCTTTGTCAGAGATAATACTAAAGCACAAACAATGCTAATGCAGAGATTTAGATTTAATTAAAAGTGTAAATTCTTCATTGACCTCTGAGGCATTCTCAGTTTGCCAGGGAACAGAATAAAAGACTTGTATGAGAAAGGGACAAAGCTGGGTAAGGAACAGGGAATGGAGACACCAAGATTAACTGCATTTCATTTTTAAACAAGAGTAGGCACATGCACACACATCCAGAAATACGAKGTTGTGCTGTAATGGAAGAGCCAAAGAAAATATTTATCATTTATAAGACTTACCTCCAATGGTAAGAAAATGATACTAGGGCTCTAAGGCTTCTACTGTGTTTTTTGCAAGTTTTGGCTGAAAAGAGATGTRCATGGGTTGCTAGTACAGTTCCATGCTGAAACAGCATTCTGTTATCTGGTTTTATGCAAATTAGTTGTTTCTGAAAACTAAATAGTACTATGAAATGTTAAAAAAGTCACTAACTCTCGCCAGTTTTAARGGATACCATAGGTAGATTTTCATTTGAAAGTTGTAAAATACATATATTTGGAGATTACTTAAAAATACTTAGATGATCCCTAACTTCTAAGAAGAAAGAAAACTGGTGTTGTGAATGAGTGAATGCAGCCCCACAACTGGGTTTCTGAGATGATTTTTTTTGAGTTTATTCTCTTGACAATCTGGTAGGGTTTCAGCCCAATAAATACCTGGTTTGGCTGGAAATACCAGAAGTTTGTTTTTAAATATGTGCTTTGTTGTTCAGACTTGTCTGCAATAAAATCACAAACCAGCAATTGTTTATGCTTCATTTAGTGTGATAAGGTGTATATTAYACCATTTAGAGAATCGAGACTTTGTACAGAATATACCATATGTAGTATAAAAAAAGTAACAAAAATAATGCTTTATTTTAAGCAAACATAACTCTCTGCTCTTGCAGGAAGTATTATTAGTAGCATAAAGTCAACTACATATTCAAGGATGATTTTTTTAACCAATATAATTTAGCTGTGCCAGCATAAATAATGGTGTTTTATATATATATATATGGCTATACTACAAACTTCTTCAGGCAGCTGTCAGATCATTTTGATTACCAAACAAATATTATTTTATCTATGGAATGAAATAGAAATCATACTACAACTGGGGTAGCTGAATGGAAGAGCCAGTAATGGTATCTACACTTCTAGATTCTGCTCTCTTCCATGCAGCTCTTGGTGAGGTTGGTGCTTTGTTCTGTAATACAGACACTGGAGTGGGACATAAAATGCCAATTAATGAATGTGGTAACATTTTTGAGTACTGAATGTGGATTTCACTGTGGTAGGTCCATGTGGGAATGCCACAGTATAGTATAAAATGAGTGAAAGGTCACTGCCTACTTTCCCCCCCCCCAACCATTATTTGAAGCATATTTCATATGCTCTTCTTATCCCATGGCTCTGAAATAAATTCGCATTTTTTTGGTGTTTTAGTTCATGTCATGACTGTTATGTCAGTTGCTTTAGCTGGTTCCCATCATTTGAATCAAAGGATCAAAGTACTTGCATCCTCCGGGAGAAGTATAAATAAAAAGAATTTAAATATTTCTAGAAAATATTCTTGTTGTACTGGGAATCATTTGCTAACTTAGCTTTTCCAAGAGCTGAAACTAAGTGAGAAAAAATCTGGTGCCAACTCAGCCTTCAGAGTAACTCTGAAATATTGCTAGTGATTTATGTAAATTAYTCTTAGCAAAGCAAAATTACCTCAGGAATAATAAATTCATTATATTTGTGACGTAATACACATAGTCCAGCTTTTTCAGGAGATCACGGTATTAAGAATACAATTTACCAGTATCTTTTAGGAAGCTCAGCATTTTAAGTGTGATCTGTGTAAAATTCATATGCTTTACAGCCAGGCGAGTGAGATGGATGTGCCTTAACTGGGTGGACAACAAGCCATGATCACTGTAAGGTTAAAAAAAAAAAAACCCTTGCAACTAATGAAGAGGAGCACTTTCATTAAGTTTCACTTTTATCCAGTTTTTTTTCTTGGAATTAATTTTAACTCAGAGTTTCWGTTTTAGATGGTAGAAATCTCAGCTTTCTCCACATTGATACTTTCTACTTTATGTTCTGTTAAATGTTAAACTCTGTAACACCAATTAAATCTACCGTAAATTAAGTATGAGTAAATGTTTAATCTTTCTGTGAACTTTGAATGGTGTACTAGTGGTTTCTCTTTTTCTTTGAATTAGATGGAGAGCAGAAGACTCAAGTGATGATTCATGGAATTGAGCCAATGCTGGAAACACCCATTCAGTGGCTAAGTGAACATATGAGCTATCCAGATAATTTTCTCCACATTAGTATCATTCCCCGACCTACTGATTGAAACTCAGCTATATTCGTATGAGGATCATTCTCAAGCTGGAATTATAAGGGCATGTCAACTTCCTGCTTCTGTCAGTCTTGACAGAGGCAGTCTGACCAGAAAAAAAGAAATCAACAAAAAGCCGAAACAAAACAAGAAGTCCTCACTGCTGTAAGCCAAACAGGAAGAGAGATCCTATCATCAGATAAGGGCAATTGGGTTGATCTTATTTTGCATCACTGCTGTGTTTGTTCACCGCTGTAATTAAATCAGTTGCAATATGAAAGAATTTACAGGACTTCTGCAAGTCTGCTGTTTTCTTGTAAAATATAATGAAGCTGAAACTGTCAGCCGAAGAGCAAATGGAAATATGCCACTTGATTGTATTTCTGATTAACAAATAAACAGGGCTGTTTCCTAAAGAGGTAGTGTTTCAGCTTTGAGGGTGGAAACATTGGTTTAATTTTCTAGAAAGTTAGGCACTGAGAGATTTGGTTACCAATAGCTTTTTGTAAAAGATCAAATTACTGTAAATCCATCTTTCCTTAATGAGAAGTTCATGTTTACAGTATATGTATTGGTATGCAAATGATCTTTTAACTTTGATAACAAGCAGTGAGAGATTTTAAAGTAAGCCCGTGAGCATGTTTTGTCAGTTAAAAACATGCACAACTTAATAATTACAAATACTTTTGATTTGTATGCTGTCACTGAATACTCCAATGTGTTTATTATTCAAACCAGTTTTCATAGACTAGCARCGATGTAAGATAATTTGTCTCAGGATTCATCATGGCATTTCTTTGTGCTCATCTAATTTTTTTCTCTAAGAATATATTTTCTTAATTTACTTTTTAAAGTTTTTTTTTTTTTTTAAAGCAACATGGATGTTGCAAGTGGGATTGTATCCTGCTGTTTATTCCCATAGACTAGGAAACAGTTAAATCATAGAATGATGAACAGATTGTTTTTTAATGATTTTGAATTTTGGAAAGCTGAGGCTTTTCCAAGCTAAYACTTTCTTCATCTGTGTTCCCTGAGCAATCAGTCCAAAATTTGGAAGCTTCTAATCTCATTGCACAGATTTTTCCTTAGTGTAGCAGATGTATTTTTAGCAATGATTTTTTCATCATTTTGGTTTCTAAATGTTTGTTACCATTGCAGATGCTACTGGAACTATACCATTTTTTTTTGTGTTACACCAAATTCATCAAACTGTGCTCTATTACTTTGTCTCCAGTTCGTGGCTGTTTGTGGCACAAAACTATGTTTATAGTAGACATATTATCCAATATGTCAGTATTATCCAATATAAAGAAAGCATGACATTTTTCTTCATAAATAGTGGCTGTCAAAGTTTCTTTTCACAGTCTTGGCTTGTAAATGTCCTGGTAACTCCCAGTGCTGTTCCCATTCGTTTCCATGCTCCCTTTATGGTAGGATACCTACCTGTATCTGAAAAAGAAGAAAATGAAAATCAATCATATGAACAAAAACCTCTTTCTGAAGCAAGAGGAGAAGGATCTCCATGGGTGAGGATAGGGTTGAGGCTAAGAAGAGSCCCGAGGGCAGCAAAAGTCGGTAGACAGATTAGATACTGTTTTAAATGTCAGTGAGGAAATAGCATTAAGGAAATGGAAGGGTAAAGGTACTAATGAAACAAACCTATGCTGTATTCTGCAGGAGATGAAGAATTTTTAAAACAAAACAAACCATGCTTTTCTGTGTTTATGCAGAATTGAAATACAATATTCTTATGGTGAAATGATTTCGTTGAGTTATTCTAATTTCCAGTTCTGTTTGGAATTTTGTTACTGTGTTGGATTGGCGTTTATAAACTTTCTTAGGCACACGTATCTAAATATTTTGGAGAATTTCAAAGTCCTGCCAACGGATAAAGCAAATATTTTGTAGAGTCTTCATATTTAAAAAAAAATCTTTTATAGGGATAATTTTTCCATTAATCAGGAAAAGAGGCAATACGTTTAAAAAGCTGTAGAGGTTGTGTTTCCTTTGTTTTTAAGGTAATCTAGAGTGAATCACTTGCTATTTTAATATATTCTACACCAGCATTTAAAGTATACAGCCCTTCTCATGGCCCGTATTTGCCAGTAAATTCGACTTTAAGGCCTAGCATGTAAGAAAGAAATAGCTTGGCTTTAAAACATACTCTTTCCTCTTCCTTTAACTATTTAAACTTTATTAAAAAATAAAACAAAGTTTGAGTCTGTCTTTATTTCCAGCTAAATAAGGATCTTTKTCAAGGAATGACAAGACTATTTAATTAATAAGTAGAAACTTCTTAAAAGATAAGAGTTTCTTAGAATGTGAGCACATATACAATGGGTTCTGAATTAAAGCAGGTAGGTATCTATTCTGTGTTAAAATACCTTGTTTTGAGATAGGCATGGTGTCATTTCAAAATGKCACACTAAACCTGAGTAATATCTCTTGGGAGAGAGGTAAAAACACATTCAGAACCAGATTTCAGATTTCTGTACTTTCAAGTTGCACTATCAAATTGGGTTGTGGAAGATGCCTTTAAAATGTTTTCTCTCTTTCCCTTGTCTTTCATGTTGCTATGATTCAAGTAATTAAGTTCTTTTAACTGTGAAATGAAACACCAGTTTCTCTGAACAATAGATGGAAGAACACAAAGGAATATGCAGACAGCTGCATGAAAAGTTTAGTGTATGTCAAGAGTTTTATATGTATAAAATAACTAGCATTGTGTGGAGTTGAAATGTGTGGTTTTAGTAGTATATATATATGTAAAAAACACTTACGATGGAAAGAGAGGCAAACACTGTTAGGGTTGGAGTGTCTTGACTACAAGTGAAACTGCCAAAATGTGTCCAGTTTTAATATAGCACCTTCCACTGAAGATGTTTAAAGCTATAATCCTTGCATCATCTCACTAATCTAGGTCAACAGATACAATAGAACAAGTATCTTGGGGAAATAAATCTGTGATCTAACTACTAATTTCATTATATCCTCAGTTCTCACCATGACTAAGTATGATGTGGGAAGGTAAAGCAATGTAGTTTGTTTGCATCTGTTGGAATTTGGAGAATTGCTTGCTGGACTTTAGTCAAGTGTATTCTGCTAGTTCACAGGCACCTCTTAGAAACCTCCAGAAGCTTGGTTCTTTTGCAAAGAAAATCAAGCTGTAGTGGGGGGAAAGAGAATCAATGGCGCTGTTCATTAAACCTGTCCCTTCACTGGCTGCCTGACAGTGAAAGACATATGGAGAGAATGCTTGAGTGAGAGCTGGTGATCTCTTGTTTTGTACAAATATGTATATGATTTCTCCTTGTGTATATTGTTGCTTAGTGTCTCAGCTGACATAAAAAGACAACTTGTTATTCTTTCAGCTAGACAGAGGCACTCAAGTGTTTTTATTACTAGAGAATTAAAGATCAGAATGGAAACTATCTAGCTGAAACTTGCACCTTACATGCTTTTCTGACTATAATTAAAATAATCTGCACTTCAGAGGTTTGATTTCCATCAGTTGTATGTATACACACCCTCACTGGATTTTTTCCATGTCTCAAAATTAGCCAGATAGGCTGGTTTTCCTTCATTTTAAGCTTTATCCGAGTCTCCAGGAGGAGGAGATCAAGACATGGGGGTGACCCCAAAGCCCTGAAGTCCTGGTGTGACCAAGAAGTCATACGGCTTCACTGTTCCACKGCAACCATTTTATATGAATCCTGGCCCTTGCAGATTCATCTTTAATTTRCAGCTTCTCTTTATTTAGCTGATCCTTGGCCTCAGCTGAGTGGTGATGAGGCTGTGCCTGCTCCTGGCTCCACAGTTCCCATCTCACCCTTGCAGGATTGCCATCGACACTCTGCTTGTGACTAAAACCCCCATCTCTGGAGCCCTCGCTGACACTTCTYGCACAGCTCCTCCTTCACCATCAGAGGTATGAGTTCATTTCTGTTGGCTCTTACCACAAACTGGGTGGCCCTGTAGGAAAGCAGTGAGAGAAGGGTGCAGAGGAGGAGAGGGAAACGAGAGGAATTAAAAAACAGTGAAGGTGGGGCTTGAGAGAAAATACTTTGTGGGGAGTGAAATGACAGAGCCGGATTCTTGATCTCACCCAGGTTTCTCAATCACTCATCACCCTACAGCTCCCACCACATGCTTTCCTTTCCATCCTTTCCATGAGTACAGTGCAATGGCTTTCATCTGTGGGGCAAAGTGTCTGGCACCTCTGGTGTCACCTGGAGTGAGCAGTGCACTGAGTGTGTATTTAAATTTAACTTTGATGGTTTAGCACATTGCTGAAGGAGGCCTTTATTTACAAGAATTKTTCAGAGCTTCCTCCTCTGCAGGAGATCCTGGGCTTCCTTCGTGTGAGGAGTCAGAATGGGGAGGTCCCATTGCASAAAACATCTTGGGCAGGCACCACAGGTTACTGTTCCAGTACACTGTATCCTGGAAAACTGAGTCATGGGCATGGCTTTTTKACTCAGGGGGATGGATGGAAGGGAAGGAAGGGGAGGAAGAGACGGAGGGAGGAAAGGAGGAAAGGAAGGAAGGCCCTTTCATGAAAATTACAGTTTCATGTTCTGAAATTTTACTTTATGCTGTTACATTTCATGCAGAACAGCAGAATACATTTTCAATGTGGATAATAAATGCCAAACCCAGTTTTGGTCACAAGGCTTTTCTGTTTCATTTTCCAGTCAGAATAAAATTCCAYTATATGGGGTTTAGTTGTAGAACAAGATATCAATATTTTTAATGAGTCTGTATAGGCAGTAGAAAGAGGATGTGTCCTTTTGTGTCATCAGCAGTTCTGTGCTGTACATCTCAACACCTTTCAATATGAAGATACATGAGGACTTCTGCTGAGGCATGGTTTTGCTGAGCCACCCAGGCAGTTACTCTGCCAATTTGGGAGGTCTCTTCCCCTATGGAAACTGTTCAGTTTGGGTTTATTGTATATAAATTTATACTTGATGGCTGTTGAGAAAAATGCTGGAAGAATAGCCATAATGGCAATATTTAAAAAATAAAAAAGGGCAAAGTTTAATTTATTGCTTGAATGGAATGTCTTACAGTAAGAAATCATAATGTCAGCTTTCAGTGAAATTAGTGATGTCCTACTTCTGGTTGTGCCTTCAGTTATTTCAGTGGTAAGAGGGAACAATCCTAATGGGTCAGCTTACAATTGCCTTGAAATGTATATAGTGTGTTTTAAATTAATATGCCAATAACAGGAACTACTTGGTTTTTATTCTTTCTCTTACTGAAACTTAAATGCATGCAAGGGTTTGCTGCAGTTGGCTTCCTCAGGGAGGTGCAGCAGGAATTGTGTTTCTTCTGGCCTCCATAGATCATACTGGGATCAGTGTTTTTTGAGGGTATGGGGGAAAATAGTTCCCTGCAGCCTATCTACTGGGCTCTTCTCTCCCTTCTTCCCCAAACTAGATGCCGCAATTTTCCATAATGCAGCCCTTTGGTTTCTTGTTTTTTGTTTTTTTGATTTTTTTTTTTGTTGCATGCTTTAGACAACAAAGCAGGAACTATAACTACTGAGCATAATGATTAATTCTTCAGTTGTCATTTTGAGGGTCTCTGAAATTTAAGTCTTTCAGGATTCTGAGCCACACCTCTCACAGAGACTTGTTCTGGGTTACCCACACAAGCTTCCAACAAGATAACACCAGGTGTAAATTAAATTCTCTTTAAAAATGTGCACACATTTTGATGAAGTATCCCCAGCTTTCATTCATACTATTTTTGCTATTTCTGTGTAACCAGCTTTCTGGATGCTGATTTCAAAAACTTTCAAAAAGCAAACCTCCTCGCYAAGATCATGTGGAGGGAATGGACGATGTTGCTCAACTCTCTCTGTGCCCAGCTCAGCCTTTGCTTGTGTCACTGCAGGCAATTAACAGTGCTCAAAACCACAGTGCTCCTATTCCAAAATGCCATTTGATGGTATCGGGACACTTGAGCCTTCAAAATAAAATTTGTTGGTATTTTAAAGGGAGTTTATTCTTCAGCATTAGAAAATGCTGAAGTAATAAAAGGCATTGAGTATGCAGCATCAACAAGGAGATCTTTGCTGCAAGTATGATCTGSATGGGATAAAAATGCTTCTTCTTTAGTATAATGTAAGCTTGAAATGAACTGTAATATATTTTTGTGTTCTGCTTTGATCCTAATGTGTTCTGGGGTGCTACACTGAAATGAATRTGGATACCATCAATACAGTGGAAGATCCTTAACACCTTAATGTATGGGCATGTGCCRCAGTTACCACATCATAAACAAGGGTGTAAGCTTTTCAGAGCTGCCCCAAGATAGAGAACTTTTACCTCCTCTTGTCCCAGGGTAAATAGGTTGTTGATGTTTCTGAGAGCAGAGTGCTTTCTCTGGCATTGGCAAGGGAGAATGAATAATTRCTGTGGGTTTGCCAGATGTGCTGTAGGCTACGTATGCATCTTGACCTGATAGGAATGAATCTGAGTGTTTTTTACCTGCAAGATTTATTTTCTGTGATTTTGTTATTTATGTCAAAGACGTTTTTGGGAATTTGAGGTAACCTTAGGCCTGGGATCATTTCATTGACTAACTTTGGTGCTGATTATTTGAAGCAAGTCAGTCACTAAAATTTTTATGAAGTTTCACTGTACAGTGAGATAAGATGAAGTGTAAATGGTGTGGCTGGAAACTTCTTGAGACATATTTAAGCTTATTTTGCAATGTCACATGGGATCACAGGAAAAAGAGAACACTCCTGCCTGTGCTCTCTGCTGAGAGTTTTGGTGGGTCACTGTTTGCCTGGAGTGCTGAAATATCCCTCTGCCATTCAGATCACATGGTARGGGTGTTGTTCTGGTGGAAAAGTCTCCTTGTCCAAGGTAAGAGTTGATCTAAACCTGAGTTTGGCTCTTCTGAATTCTTACAATAAGTAATCTCACTGAGCACAAGCCACATTGCTGCCTCTCAGTAAGTCTGTAGTTTTTTCCTGGATTTATTGCCTTGCAGAAATAAAGACTGCTGTTTAGTCTGAAAAATTCCTACCTCAACAAATGAAGAACACCTTAAATGTTTTTAAACTTAGAGGGAGAAGCTAGAGCTAGGAAGAGCTAGCAGAAACCTCCCAGGATGTACCAGAAAGAGAAAAAACTCAAATCTTGCATTTTTCATCACAGGCTTCTTGATGCAGCATAAGAGAAAAGTTTCTCAGTAAGTTGTCTGGGGTTCAGATAGGGAAGAGAACTGGGGGTCTTACTGCTGCTTATGTTGATGTCAGTACCTTCTACTTTTCAAGCAGAGCTTATGAGCTTGTGCCACGAATCTGCTGTCCTTCCCCTGCATGGATGTGGAAATTCAGCTTCCAGAAGAACTGCCATTTCAGTTTTRCTGGGGGAATGAATTGGTGGAAGCTTGGGAATAAAAAGCTGTCTAAAAGGTTAGTTATGGCAGAAGATYCTTCTCAGAGCCGTGTTTAATCCTGCTGTGGATCAGGTGCTGGTCAGAACTGACTCTRTGTTGAACCATCAGCTGATGTGTTGAGCCAGTCTGTCAGTGCTACCTGTGTGATGGCTTGGACCTCAGAAGGGACAGATGCTCTTATGCTTTGCAGTGCAAATTTGTGTGTGTGATACTGAATTTGCAAGAAGGCAGAGTCTGTTAAACAATGCACAGCCTGCATGGTTTTGTTGTGGAATGGCTCTTTCATGGCACAGCACACCATTGACATGAGAAGCATTGTTTTATTTATCTCAGCTGATGTTCCTCTGAAACTGCTTGGTGGGTAATTTTAATGGATGAGTGTCATGGTTTAGGAATGGTGTTCCACACAATGCAGTGTTCCCACTGAAACCACCCCAAACCACGCTCTGCTCGCTCACTTCTCCCTCCCCCTGCCCGGGATGGAGAGGAGAACTGGAGGCACAAAAGGTAAAGATGATGGGCTGAGGTGGGAACAGTTCACTGGAAATGGTAATGAGATATGAAAATGAACAGTAAGAGCAGCCATATTAGTGACAGAGGGTACAAGAAAGASGTRAACRATTCGCACACAGAAACCCCCTGCCAATAGCCRGCTGCTCCCTCCACCACCCTATGCTGATCCAGAAGGGAGCCTTCCCTGTCCCCAGAAAATGCTGTCAGGGGTTACAGAATAACCTCCAGGTCCTGGCCATGTCCCTTTCTKKCTATGGMAAAAATTAACCCTGTCCTGGCTGGAATCAGGTCGATGTGGAGTGGAAATCACTGCACTGGCAGGTACGATAGCCGCTCACCTTATTTGCTTCCAAATGCCCCAATAAATCCTGTATGGCACCTTCCAGTAAATGCGGCAAATCCGGCTTGGCGCTCAAGCCGCTGAGGAAGAAAACTTTTATATTGTAACATTAAAGGCAGACACTTTGTTTTAATCACTTGCCAAAACAGCTGAAAACAATTATTAATTAATAGGAAACATTAACTTTTAACTTTGCAAGCTCTCCAAGGAAGTGTCTGTGACAACTTGCATCTGGATTTATGGATAATTTGGATACAGTGAAAATGGGCATCGTACTGCAAAGGTCGACTGCTTTAAATTCATTTTAAGTGTGCACATAGTGCTCTTAAAATTAATATGTTTATAAACCTAAATTGGTTCAGTTGGATGTCCTTTGTTCTCTTTGTGGCTTCATTTGAAGCAACAACAAAAAGCTGTGCTTGTTTGTGTGTTTAACCAAAACGTTAAATGCAATTAATCCACCAAAAGCATACAAATATTTTTTGAATAATAGAGGCRCCCCTTTCATAGTGTCTTTGGTATTTAGCACTATGGTTTGGCGAGTAGAAGGCAACTTTTTCACATCTCATAAATAAAATTTAAAAAATCTTTTGCTTAGCTTGTTTAATTTGARCCAACACAGTGCAGCACCCTCAGTTTTTCTTGTCTGCTTTGATAAGGCTGAGGTTAGTATGTATGGTTAGAGGGAGGTGCCATTCCTAGTATTTTAGATTCTGGATCCTAATTTCCCTTCTGAAGAATACGGTGTCTGACAAATGCAGCTCCCAGGAAATAAGAAGGTGGGAATGAATATTGCAGTCTGAGACAGAGGTCCTGTTTGATCTGACTAAGGGCATGACTGTTTGGGAATTCATCATCAGATCCATTGATTTTGCCTCTTTTATCTAAAAAAAAGAAAAAAATCCTTGGATTGCAAGAAACAGAATATCCAAAATATTTCAACAAGATCAAACMACAAGAGTTAGTTTGTTATCTTAACAGAGGATCTTGAGACATCCCAATTATTTTAACAGTGGGAGAGTGGCTCCTTACCTGCCTGCTTCTATCTGGCCCACTTCCCAGATTGAGAAAGTCATGGGGAATCATAGGAGAACTTTAGCTACTGCAGGTCCTTCAGCAAGTAAAATCTCTTTTCTATCAAATGTGAGAGCTTTGCTTTACACATTTGTTCCTTGGACTCTTTAAAAAAGGTGTATTTTCATATTTTGTTTAAAATTCTGCCAGTCCTTCTAAATGAGCAACTCACTCGTAGGTAGTGGCTTGATCTGAGCTCATCCTCTGTGCATGGGACTGAGTGTTAATGCCARGGGTGCTCTGGTCACACTGTGTAGCCTGGGTGACTGACAGTTGGGGTAAATCAAAAATCTAGATCTGGGGATAGAGAGCCAGGTACCAGGCTTCACCCATGCCATTTGAAGAAAGTCCATCTGTTCCCCTTTTTAGCCTGCTGRCTCCTCAGCAGTGTGTAATGACTGGGAATCATCTCAGTTGTCCTTGTTTTGCTCAAGGCACAACACATCTAGCTACTCACCAACCTCTGGAAGGCAGATGGGCCTCTGTAGACCTGTATTTATGGTTAAGAAGAAAATTGTTGCACAGTTCTAAGGTTGTGTCCTCAGATAATAATGCTTTGATTTTCCTGGAATGTTTTGCACAGGTCTCATAAAGAAATAGAGCGTCTCCTTGCATTATCAAATAGTTCAGACTTAAATGGCAGTGAAATGATGCCTACATCTCGTTTCCCTTCTCCCCACCCAGCACAGTGCTCCTGTTGGAAAGGGGGGATTGATAAGTCAGATGTGTAGGAATGAAGGGCAGTGCTGCTGCATTGACAGAGTGACATCTCTGCTCTGGTTGATAGTGGTCAATAATTCAATAAGAGTGATCATATAAATACCTGAGAATTTTATGGGCTGAACTGTGGCAACTGCTCTGCTTCAATKTATGTTTGTACCTGCTGAAGTCTTACACATTTGTCCTGAAAATACATTTTTTACAAATAGTTGCTGTTTGCATGAAGAACTTCATAAACTCAAATCAGTTGTCTTTCTTCAAATAGATAATTGGGTCATTACCAGCTTTTTCTCAATAGAAGGGGAAAAATTGACTAGTCTAATACTTCTCAAAGGCAGACTGAAAGGAAAAAAAGTAATTTCTGCAGTGGGTTGGGCATTTTCTGTACTTCTGTTCTCTACCAGCTGTTGCTTGATGCACTGCACTGTCTGGAGACTTGTACTAAACATTCACCCTTCCTCACATAGCCTGACAGTGAACTGCACTTGTGGCATCTCCAGAGCATTGGGACCAATCACAAAAGAAAGCAGTAGGTTGCTTCTGGTTGCTCACTGGTGTATTAGATTTCTAGTAGCAGTACCATTTTCAGGTTTGTAGGTTGTGTGTRGCAGATGGAAATAATTACTTTCAGTGTGCTCTGGGGTATTGCTAACTGAGCACAAAAGGCAGTGTGGCTTCTCTCTCCCACCACCCAGGGTTCAGGATACGCCAAGTTGGATTGCTGCAAAGATCTGGATTGATTCCTGAGTTTCATTTTTGTGTTTTTCATCATTTCCACAGAAGCAGTTGAGGGATAAATGTAAATTCCAAGTATCAGCTTCCAGGGAAGGTGTGAACCTGATCTGTGTTGGCCCTTATTGAGAATGATTTCAGAGTAGCCTTCCATTTAATGCTTGATTTTTGCATGGGCAGAAACTTCCCCCAGCTCTTGAGTTTTCTAAACACAGTCTGAGATTTCAGTATCCTCTGTGCTTCTGCATGTAAGAAGTTGTTTGGATTTGGTCTGTTTCTCTCCAGTTCTTTGGCTCTGCCAGATCCGTAAAAATTATGGGAAGTTAAAATTTTAAAATTAAAAAATAAAACATGTTTTGATATGTCAACTTCAGAGGACAACTGCTGATTACAGTTCAACTCTCTGTGCTGTCCTCTTTTTGACTGCTGTTTTCTGTTACTGTGGTAGAATGAAATGTGTGTTATGCTYGGTGTTTTCCTATGCTCACAGGACACGAGAACCAGCAGGTATCTAGAAATTTCTAGGTATAAAAATCCAGCATGAAAGAAGTGATTTGTTAATGTTCTGCAGTTGTCCAGAAGGTAAAATGCATTGTCCTGCCACTGAGCAATCTTCAGAGTGTTCTTTAAATGGACAAGCAGTTTATTTCACTTGGTCATCTTGCTTAAGATACAAAAAGTACCCCACAAGCCTCTTTCATGGCTTTCATCTGTATTTGAGGAGCATTTTGCAAATGAAAGTTGGGAGGTCTGCCATCCTTGTAAACAATATTGCAAACCCCAGTTCCAGAACAGGGAAATGCCTCTCTGTCCAACAGACAAAATTCAACAGATGCTGAATTTTGCRGTTTTTTGATGTCTCGTGGCATAAAAACCATAGAATGAACATTGAGGAAARGTCTTTTTCCCACCAAAACTCTGAAGTGATCCTACAACTAAAGCAAAGCTGCTTCCTCTGTCCAGAAGAGAACATCAGGGAGAGGAAGGGATGTGCAGCAATGAATGAGAGGGTTTGAGTCTAACTGGTTTGTTTCCTCAGGACCAGCAGAATGCTGTTTGTTGCAGTCTGTTGTTGAAGTACCAATATTCTATTTTTAAAACRATGAAATGTTGATTTGATTAAAATCAGCAGAAAACAGTGCGGGAAGCTGCTGGTGTGGAAAATTTTCACATCATGCCAAGACAACATTTTTTATCAAGTTTTTTTCTTTAAGGTGTCGCTTCACAAGGTTGCATGCTGATGAWAATGTTTTGCTGCTACAGATGGAGGAAATGAGACTGATGAAAATCTTCTATGTGAAAATCTGTAGAAGTTGGCTTCAAAGAGAGAAATGTCCATAAAACAYGAATGTGGCAGAGATGTTCCACAGGAATGTTTCAGCTATCAGGAACATGAACTGTTGGGAGCATCTCCCCTCTCAGATTTGCATAGATAGAGATGCATTGGTTCCAAACAGAAGAAATTTGGTAAGTAGATATTCGCTTCAGACAGAGCTGAGTAAAGAGGGGAAAAAAAAGGCAGGTCACAATCAAAACAACAGAAACTCATCAACTTCATTATATGCTGTGAATGGTCCTACTCTTCAGGAAACAAAGATGAAAAGGTCCTTCATTAAATGTTATTGGCTCACATGAAACTTCAAGCCTCAGCTGCTTCTGAAATCACCACAGCAGATACTGCAAGCTGCATGGCAACGTCTTTTCCTGAAATCGTTTGGATTAGCCTACAAGTGAAACTTGCTTGGGTCAAATGAAAAGGTTTGGATTTGATCAATGAGTTGGTGTGTGTTTTGTCAGCTTCTGCTGCTGCTCTGCCTTGTCGGTTGAGAAATACTAAAAACTTTGGGCAAGATGAGTTAGTGAAAGTAATGCAACAGCTTTGATAATGTAACTTTCATGATGGCTAAAGGATGGCTCAACACCAATTATACATGGTAATAATAAGAGTAAGCTAAAATTATAGCCTGACAGTGCCTAGGAGGGGACTTGGAGGATGTGTGTAATACGTTTGCTTCCTTCCAAAACTTGTTGGACTAGCAGCCTGACTACAGGAAAATCACTGTAATTTAGCTTTTGCTGGCAGTATCAGCAGTGGAATCTAGGGCATAAATACATTGCTTTGTGTATATCTTAGCCCAGATCTAACAYGGGAGCAAGTGAATATGGGAAAGCTTGCACTGTTGTTGCTTGTCCTTTTTTTTGAACAGCAACAGGGACAGCTCAGGTTTAATCATGCTAAAAAACAGACATGCATGTAAAACCATTACCTTTATTTCATCCCAAATAGCTTATTAAAGGGAGACAGGAGCCCAGGTCTTACCCAGTCCAAAAGAGAGACCCTCAGGCAGACAGCAGGGCTCCTCTCAAGCAGCCACTGAGGAGGCAGATGGGAAAACTCATGGGTCAGGTCTTCAGGCTTGGCACAGGAAGGCAGCTCCCATTGCACCCAGTCCCTAGCTAGCATGAAAGCAGTAATCACTGCAAATCTGGACTGTCCCCATGCCTCATGTGTGACAGAAACATTGGTATTCCCTTCAGCCCAGTCCTTGGGAGCATCTGACACAGCTCACAAGCTTTGATTTGTGTGTCTAGGGCAGAATTTGTTTGTTATGCTAGTCAGGGACTACAGGTAAGAAAAATTGTGGGCCATGGTTTTAAACTTTGGATGAGTAGGATAGTTAAGGTTTATGCTTGCTTTGGATGCATTCAGTTCCAACTCCTGCCAGCTAAGGAACCTCACTCATGGTGACATGTTTTGCCAAATAAATTAGCATAAGCAGACTCAGCCAGCCCTGAGTGTGTCACTGGCCACTTYGGTGGCCCTTTTTGCCACACTTGTAAGAAACCCAGGAACTGCTGCAATCTGGAGAGAGAAACTTTYGAGCTTGTGCCAGCAGGCACTTGTTAACAGGGCTTTGTTGAGGTCTCTGACCTCCACAGATAAGCTGCTCTTGYGGGTTAGGAGATTTGAAGCTGCTGGGCTGAAATCCAGCACGTTACAGCCCAAGCTCTTTACCTTTTCGTTGGTTAAGAGGTGCTTGAACTATTTGGCAGGGAGCCAATGAGGTCTGCTGGGTCTGCCATGGGGCAGGCAGTTACGTTAAAAGACCCAGTTTCTAATTAAGCCAGGCCTTTGTAACTCTCTAAGCAGCTTGCCCAAAGTCACGCTGGTGCAGGGTCACCCTTGTCTTTCGAGAGTGAGAMGGGGCAGGTGAGGCCTCTGGTCCTGCTGAACACTAAACTACAGTAGAGAGCATTAACATTTTGAAATTATTGGGAGAGAAGTTCTAGAAAATTACCCATGTGATTATATCTTGAGGRGCAGAAGGCAGAGCAGAGTTACCTGACTGATGTTTCTTTCTCGGGCTGGAGTTCAGCGTTGGCCCATGCTCTCTGCTGAGGCTGTTTTTTGACTGAAATAGAACTTTGCATGGAACTGTTCTTGGTGTGGCTTCTGTTTAGAGGAGATGAGAATGAGGGAGAATTCATAACCAAAAATTAGCCTAATTTTTTTTCTTCTTTCTGCATTTCTGATGGTAGTTCAGTACTGGATGTGGGGAAATGGCTTTGCTGCACCAGTCTGGAAATGTTACTGTAGCTTTGACCGAGGTTGCAGAGGATGGTCCTTGCTGCCAGATGTGTCTTGGCTTTACTAGTCCATGAGGTTATTTTTGATATGCTCTTGGTTCTTGGCGAGCATCCCTCAAAGGTAATCGGTGCTCTCCAGCACTGAAGTATGTGACATGTGAAAATGGGATGATGTGGTAGCTCTGTGACAGATCTTTTTGGGGTAGCAGGGTCACAATGAATACCTATWTTCAGTAACTGGGATTAGGTTTGCCAGGAAAAGGCCTGGTTGGCATGATAYTTCCATGGACAACTGATCGAAGCTGTGAGGAGCAGCACAGCACTGGCAGCGCTAATTCCTCTGCTGCTGATTGTGACAGAAATGGTGATTGTCTGCCATAAATGGTGAATCAGTGCAAACCCTGGAAATGCTTGCCTGTTGCTTTAAAAATTCACCCTCACAGGGGATTTCAGATCCTTCAAATTTGATTTGCTCAAAGAAAATTCATTTTAAAAAATAGGCTGATAACAAGGCTCAAGCAGGAAGTTTATTCTGTTCATTAATGTAGTCYCTGTAAATACAGTGTGTTTGTTAATATGGTATAAATTGAGCTGAGATAAAAGATCTAAGAAATAGAACTCCTGCCTGAGCCCTGTGTGGTGTATATTTAATGAATTTTCACTTAATTATCCATTAATATGTATTAATAAAATAAACATGGAAATTGARCAGCACAGTACTAAAATACTGTTCTGAAAGAAAACCACATTGAGTAAACTAAAACAACTGCATTTCTTACTAATCTACACAATGYATTTCATTTAAAAGGAGAATTTATAGTATTTGAAATATCCTACCACATACTGAAACTTTTAGTGTAAACTGCCACTTTCTGACTATCACATATTGAAATACTTGTGGTGCGTAGTGAAATTTATGTTACATTGTGTAAAATATATAGTGAAACCGAACTGATGTATAATGAGACACACATGTGCCTGCAATGACTTATCAGTTCCATTATTTTCTAACTAACATTATTTTTGTGATCAAGTTTTTCTGGGTCAGAGGAAGAAAAYGGTGAAGACCAGGACTGGCACTCCAATGGAGAGTGTAGACCCAAACTTGYACAAAAACCTAATCAAGCTGAGTTATCCTTTGTCCTTTCCTGAGATAAATTCTAAATGTRAAGTCTGGTAATGGTTACAACATGTCTCTCTTTCTCTGCCAAAGCTTCATTACGAACATCAACATCACCCCAGCAAGGGAAATACCACCAGCCACAAGCAGAGAGGCCGGCTGCCCAACTCTCAGCAGTTTTTACCAGAACGGGGCTGCCTCACATGAGACCCTGGTGAGATATGTGGGGCCTGCAGGAGCACCCAAGCACAGGTTGGGTCATTCAGACCCCTTCAGATCTCRTGGGAAGGGTAAGTAGACAGCTCAGACCTGACCTCCTTGATCCACCAGGGCTCCAGAGCTCCTGTGAAGGCTCAGGGTGGATGGGCACCTGCTGGTGACTGTGACCTGCAAAACCTCTCCCTGCTGCTTAGATTTGTTTTTTTTTTCTTACTTAAGTTGGGTCCTGACTACACAGGCAAGCATCCCTGGCGGGCAGGGCAGCAGGGTGGCTGCTGGGTGTGCCCTGCTGCTGGCAGGGGAGCGCTGTGGCAGCCGGTCCAGCCGCTGCTGGCCTCCTGCTGACCCGGGCTGATCCTCTTGTTTGCAATTTGCTGCTGCTCTCCAGTTGGGCAGTGCCTTGGGCTGAGGATGGGGGCTCTCTGGCTGGCTTGGGAGGTGGTTTTGTCCTGGCTGACTGTGATCTTCACAGGTCCCAGCCGGAACAAGGATCTGCCCTGTCCATTCCTAACAAGAACTTGCTGCTTGGACCATAAACAGATTGCTGTCTCCGAGAACTGGCCAAAACAGTAACTGAGGCCCCAGGGCTGCTCAACCAAAAGAGCAGCAAATAAACCACAAGTCTCACACCTCCTTGATCAGACCTATTCCAAGCTCCATCGGAGGGTTTTCTTTTATGGTTATCTTTTACCTGGTTTTGCAACTGTGCCAGGGTGACCACGCATTTGACACTCGGAAAGTGATAACCACTGTGAAATTCCCTCTTTCTGATCTGCCTCGATAACTCTCAAGTCAGGGTGTGTTTATCCCGTCCTTGCATTGGACTAGTGGCCTTTTGCTTAACCAAAACCAGCTTGGCCCTACTGAAATTGAAAGAAGACCTTCCTACTTCACGGCTGTTGTGCAATTGATGCTCATCAAGGATGGTTAAAGGCACAAGACAAAACACACCCTGCATTTGAGGGTAAGGTGTATTAACCTTTCCACTTGGAATGCCTAATTGCTCAAATATTGCCAACATTGTTCAAACTGCCAGATATGTTAGGGAACAGGCAGAACTGGAGGGACAACTCTATATGAGGGGTATGACAAATTTATTGGGTAAATTGAATGGGAGTGCTTAACCCTTCTCTCTGTTCTGTTTTTTTGTAAGGACAGTTGCCAAGTGGAGTTGGTMATGACTAATTCATGTGAGGAAACAGCACAGAGAAGTTAAACAGCAACAACCAGTTTAATTTCACTTGTTACCAATRTGGCCTAACTTAAATTTCAAAAGGAGATGAAAGGTAAATTTGCCATTTGCTCTCTATGTTTTAAAAGCTGCAACAGTGCTTGAAGAGTGACATGCTCTGTATTACTAATGCCACCTCTGTCCTTAGAGCGAGGTGAGGAGACAAACACAATTTCTGGGTATACTAGGACAAAAATGCTCCAAAGAATAGAATTTGTGTTTTGTTCTACCCTATTCCTTGCTTTTAWAAATAATTCTAGAGCTAGATTAGTTTTCTCTGAAGCAAAGCAGAGCGTTCGTGGGCTCCTATATGTGTCAATGCCCAAACTGACCAWGATGATACAGAAACAATAAAGGAATTGTCATGAGGAAGAAAAGTAAGCAGGAAACATATCCCAAGTATCTGAGCATCAGCTCTTAGCAAGCAACACATCAGGTATGAATATTTCACCGGAACCAATCACCTGGTGCTCCTTTTTTTGCCTTATCTTCTTATCTCCTCTGAATCAAAGGGTACAACAATGGTGACAGTGAATGGATGAGGTACTATGTATTTAGACAACATTGTAGAAGATGATTTGTCAACAGGGAGACAGAAACCTTTCATAATGCTTGGAGGAAAATTCAGMGTAATCCCAGGATAATAGATTTTTAATCCTTGGTTGTTTCCTTGTGCAATACAAGCTAATGAGTGTCACGCACTCCTTTGAAACTTTCAGCAACTTCCTTGAGATAGACCATTTCCTTTTGAAAGATCTTCAGTACATACGAAAACATTTACCAATTCCTTCATCATGGCTWGGTTGTTATTTTGCTAAAACAGAACAGAGCAAAGCAAGAATAATTTCAAAGGCAGATTATGGAATTGTTATCCCTTTGAGCTAACTATGGGGAGCCAAGCACATGGCTGAGCTGTTGTAAAATCAGGTTTAAATACACTTCTCTTCATTTAAAATGCTTCTGCAGAAGCCATTTGATTTAAATGTCCACTATGTGGGTTGTAGTTGAAGACCCTCTGAAATGAAGCTGYCAATGGACAGATCTGCCCTCTGCTCAGCTGGGTGAATCTCTGTGAAGAGGCTGAAGGCAAATGGTTCTTGCATASTTCAGCAGATTAGCAATTTTCTCAGAAAAATGGGGGTGATCACTTGCCAGTRAAGGGAATATTTTACYAGCATGGGCCCAGTTATTTTCTTCYCTGTCTGCCTGTATCCAGTTATGGAGATGTCAGTGTCCTAAAAAGAGTACTAGYTCCATATCACTGGATTTTCAGCTCCAGGAAAAAGTATTAGCAAAGTAAGATGTRTCAAAATAAGGAAAATCCTTTTAAAAAGAGTAATTTGGTAATATCAACCAGCTAAATACAAAGGAAGCTTTGGCAGGGTGGCAAGAGGCTTCTAAGGAGGCAGAAAGCATCATGGATGTTGCTGTTTGTCAAGTCATGGGTGAAATTTTGTGCTTCAGAGTAAAGTCAGAGATGAGAAACTCTGGACCTTTCAACGTGGGAGAGCTGAATCTATCAAAATAGTTTCACTTTGCATCTACAGACTGTGAAAAGATGTTCCTTTTTTTTTTTTTTCTTTTTCTCTCTCTTAGTATTTCATCTCACCTTTGCCCTTAGTTGTGTGCCTCACTTATGAGGCACCAGGGTTTCCAAAGAAAGGTGGTGTTTCACTGCTTCACTTCACCAGAAATTCTCCTTCTGGGAAGACTGAAGTAGCTGGTGGCCACCTTCCCCCATGGCCAGTGTGCTGGCAGGGCTGGCAGCAGTGGCAGGGATCCGGGAGCCCCAGGGATGCTCATCCAGAAGGCAAGAGGACAGGGCTGGGCACAGGGAAGGGGAGAATRAGAAAACTAACTGGGATGGAGAGAAAGAGTGGAAGGTTCATCACCCTCCTGGGCAGGTGTCCATCATGGGTGACAGTGCCATGGCTAGCAGAGCTGGTGGATTGGTATATGGGAAGTGCCAATCCTGCTGTGTGGTGCTGACATACCATGGAACAGCCACAGAACGGACAAATCTTGCCCAGTGCATGTGCTTTCCAAAGCCTCAGAGTTTGCCCAGGCAGCTGGTGAGAGCAGCACTGAGGCAGCAATGTCAGGCACTCAGAGGCTGAGAAAAGCTGGAATTAAGGTTCAGTCAGTCCTGCATGGATGTAAAGATGTGGCCTTTACAGGATACATGTTACCYTTGCCCTTGGCCTTTGGAATCGGGAGCCAAAGGAGGCTCTAACGTGTAAACCCCACGCCTTGCAGATGGCCTCTGTTGAACAGGGAGGGCTGGATAGAGGGGCTGTCTTGGCCAGGGAGTGAAGAGCTGCCCAGGGGAAATGTTTTCCACTGGCTGTTACCCAAGGAGYTGWGCATAACATGAAGCAAGTCACTCAACTTGAGTTTTCACAGGTCAGGTAGTATGGTAATCCCTGTATGTGCTTGGTTTGAAGGTGTTCAGGATTCCCAGTGACCCCTGAAGTTAGGATAAGCTAGTCAAATAGCATGGGATGAACTACCCTGAAAAGTCTGGGCACCCAAATAGAGTATTTATTTGATTTTAAACTCCTGTATTTTGTTTCTTTTTCAGTCCTGCCTAGGAACACCACCTTCCTCTCCCACATGGATGCTGACTGACACAGGTGAAGCCTTCAGCCATCTTTCCATGTCCACTGAAAGCACTGAGGAGCAAATGGCCCCAGCTGGAGAGTGGGACAGGAGCACAAAGGCCAGCACCATGTGGCCAGCAAGGAAGATGAGGTGAGAGGGATGGCATCCCTGCCCTATCCCACACAGGATGGGCATTTCCTGCCTTGCACTGAGAAAGGTACAAGTCCTACRGGAAAACGATTGTGTGAAGCAAGGGCTGCTCCTGGAACTTTGTGCAGACAAGCTTAATTAACTCTGTCTCTTCATAACTTCTTTTGGTGCTTGACATTTGAGCCTTGCTTGTGGTGYGATGATGCAGGGAGAGAGGTGAGGGTGTGCGAGTGAAAGTGGTGTCAGTGTTTTGATTAGAACAAGGTTTCCATCAGACACAGACACAGTCTGACCTGGTACCTGTTTGTTTCCAAGCCATGTGAAAGCCCACTCAGTTCAGCACAGTTCTGGGGGCCCAGGCTTTTAATAGCATGTAATATTAATTTCTGGCAACAGATGAGAGTTAATACATTGTGTTTAAAATCTGGGATGAGTTGTTGACCAGCTGTGTCTATGCACAGAGATATCAAATGCTTTTCTTTGGATAATGTCAGTTCCAGCCTGCAAACCATATGTGGGTCAGAGGCAGGACTGAAGACCAGCAAAAATAACCCATTTAATCTCACRGAGCCATGTCTCTCCTGCAGAGCATTTGGTGCAATTGTCCTCTAATGATCTAAGCATTTCAGAAAGTTCTGGGTGAGGTGGCTCCTTTTTCAGTGCAGCATGTCAGTCAGTGCTGGTGGGAGGTTTTTGCCCTTCTGTCTGCACTAGAGAGGTAAATTAGTTAAGCAGAGGCATGAATTATTTGCATGCARCTGAGGTGGCGAATGTGTTATCTCAATAGCAGAAAAGGAAATGGTTCTCTATAGATTATTAGTTACTGAAAAAGCAAAGGCATGTCTTTTGTTGCCACCACACCRCTGGTCTGACTGTTGAGTAGATACGGATCAATATCCCCCCTTCCTCCTTACCCCCCTTGCTCTTCACATTTTCACTGAGGCTGAGGTGAAGAGGTTTCACTTTAATTTATGTCATTCTTGTATTGCCAAATGGCATGCCAGCGCAACCGATCCAGGCGTGATCTGACTCTCTGTTTTGTACTCTCACATGCAATCCCCTTGTGGGAAAATGCTGAGAGAAAATGGAAATTTAAGCTGTGCACCTAGCCACTGTGGTTTCTTGGGTTTTTAATACTGCTTCATTTGTAAGGTCCTTGGGGCAGAGAGAGTTTGTGTTGAGTTCAGGGTAGTCATAGCCCATAAGTGAGGATTTCTAAATATTATGGTATTGCAGARAGTCCTGTAAGCAACCTGTTCTCTCTATGAAAAACAAAATACATGCAGTTACAGATCAGAGGATCTCAAAACAAGGTACAAGTATTAGTGCTACACCACAGCCTGAACAAGTCTTGTACCTATTCTACAAATGAATCGGGTGCTGTATGGGAAGGTCAACTGACTTGTTCCAAACCTCACTACTGGTTAGTAGAGGCACCAAAACCAGAACACAGCCATCTTAGCTCCAGGGTCCTTGTTTTTATTGCATAGCTCTGGCCTTGAAATACTGACATTTTTAGATTAAAATTAAAAGTTTGTCTTCAAATCTCCATTGTGATAAGTTTGACCCTGGATATATGTCCCTATGTAGTTACTCACCACTGCCTTGGCGTTTAGATTGATCTAAATAATTACAGTGAAAATTAATATTTTAAAAATTGAGTAGGAATGACATCAACTGATATTCCTAGACTTAAATACCTTGAATCTGGGGGAAACGAGAACCTGTAGCTGAACTCTGTGTTTGGGCCCATCCCTGGATATATTTTTGGAGTCAGATTCACATGGGGTTGAGGAGTTTCCTTGCAGCAAATGGGTGCAGAGGGAGATGATGGGCAATAGACCAGTGACGAAGAACAGATATTTAGCATGTTCATGTCTAACAAGGCACTTAGAGTGTTTTGTAGGGGTGTGTGCTGCTTCRGGAAATGGGTTTAATGGTCAGGGAGGGCCCTTGTTTTCTGGCCTCAATTTGGATGAGTAGCTRAGATTTTGAAGGAATTCAGAGAGCACTGTTCCTCCATTAAGGTCTGTATCCTCTGCCTGCCTCTCTGTTGTGTGCTCCCTCGGAGGATAAGGATAATCCTTGCCCTACACAGCAGAAGGGTCTGAGCCACGTTGCCTCTGCCCAGCAGATCTTGAACCACGTCCACCTGCAGYCTCTGTTCCACCTCATTGCCYGGGCTGCTTCGTGAGGTCAAGCAARATAAAYGACAGTGCAGCAAACAGCACAGAAATTCCTGAATATTGTATCTGGTGGGGATTACAGACTCAAGCAGATCTGAGGGAGGAAGGAAATCTGCACCAAGTTGCTATGTAAGTTATAATTTTATCTTAGAAGTTCTCAGGTATTTTAGGAACAGGTCTCCCAGTGATTTGTGGCATGTGGCTCCCAAGGAGGGCAGTAGGGACCGGGATATTTCCAGGATTTCCGGGATATTTTACACTGAGCTCCTCCTGAATGGCTGCTCTCAGTCACAACCGGTGTGGGGACAGCCAGTAGGGACACTGGTGTGTAATCCAAAAGATGGGTGTTTGCAGCAAACAGATGGGATGATAGCAATGCTCGTTTGGAAATTGCCTGTGCAGCTGGGCACAGGGGTTTCTGTTCAGACCACAGGCCTTTGGAGCCAAACCAGAGCTGCTTCCCAAGGGCCATGGATGTRCCTGCCCGGCCCTTCCCTTGCTGCCATCTCTACACATGGGCACAATTTTTGCCTGTGGCTTGTGGCCAGACTCGCTCAGGGCCAGCCCAGGGAGGAATGGGGATGGGCGAGCACCTCCAGCAGCTGCCCAGTTTGCAGCAGCCAGGCTGGGCCCTCAGTGCTGGGGCATCAGTGCAAGGAAACAGAGTTGAAGCAGGATTTTAGGGCAAAAGGGATGTAGGATAAGAGCCCCAGCCCTGGGATCCAGGCTCTGCTCACTGGGGTCCTGGCTGCAGCTCTCAAGGCAGCTTATTGCCTCACTGATTGGCTTGTGAGGGTTTTGGCAGATTGGGATGCTCTGCTGAGAAAGAGCCCTCTGGTTGTCACCTCTCTCATTTCTCTGTGCTTAAAGCATATTTTCTCAGATGCAGTGTCAGGGGGCTGGGTGCACTGTGAGGCAATTTGGATTCTGCGTTGATAAGGCGAGCGCAAATTGTCCCCACAACTCTCGAGAGCAGAATCAAACTGAAACTTACCACTCAGAGTAGAAAGCACATAACACCCACAGCTACAGACATGCACAAATTGCTGCAATATAGGTTAGAAAAGGAGCCCTGCTCTGCACCCTCTGGTCTCATTAAAAACATGCACACGCACCAAATCTTCACTGAATGACTACTGGCACCGGCGTGTGTTCCATCCTGAACACCCAACTTACTTGTAACGGCTCATTAAAAAGGCAAATTTTCACTTTTCATGTATTCTTGCTCCCCTTAGCACCTGGTTGCAGTTTCTACAACATTTTTAACTTCTGTTTTTTTCATGACTGATTGTGAGTAAAGTGAGATCTCTCTGGGACACCACCCAGCCTGGTTAACTGGGTCCCCACCTAGGGACATGGCTCCAGTGTGGCCAGAAGAAACCAAACTTGCCCCTCTGAGTTAAGAAKTTCTGCATGGGGCTATGAGGCTGACAAGAAGGGCAGATCTTCTTGTCTGTAAAGATGTACAGAACCTTAAAAACAGAAGGTCATCTGAATATGCAAGGTAGACTAAGAAGGTGAAGGTAGGGAAAAAGATGTTTTCTGGGGTTCACAGAGGGACAGTTCTCATGCAGAGTTTTGCCACTGGAAAGCTGTAGGGAGGCTGRAAACAATAATATCCAAGAAATCACATACAGAATGCTGCCTGCCACACTCCTCTTCCTGCCCAAAAGCTGGCCACTGCTTTGCTCATGTAAGTTAGGATTTACTGTGTAAAACTCAACTGATAAAGGCAGGAAYGTTGGATCTCCCTAAACCCAAGAGTGGTGTCACATTGTGACAGCTCAATCTTCAGCACAGGCAAACTGGGAAAGAGGTTTTCAGCCTCTGATTTTGCTGTGYGTGGTTTCAATATTGCAGGAATCACTTCTCTTCCCAACACAGTGTGGCCACTYTGGGGCAGGAATGCTGTAAGGAATCTCACTCGGTCCTTGGATAAGGAAATGATCAAGGACTTGCTTATTCACAATTAATGGAGAAAAAGAGCTGAAAGCCTTTATTAATCATGGCACAATAAGGAAGTCATACTGGTTTTKCTCCSTTYAATAGGGCTGTTTGGTCACACCTACCTAARTGGTTTGGCATCCCAAACATCTCTCCACGTGCAGCTGGGGAGGAGGAAGGAAGGGCCACTGCACCCAAATGTCACCAAGGTGCCTGGCTGACAGCTCACAGGGAAGAGAGAGCTCTGAGYGTCCATCTCCCTTTCCCAGAGGGSCAGGCATCTCTTTTYAGAGATCTCTGCCCAGTGCACACACCWGTGCTGCCTGTCCCCATGCTTTGGGCACAGGTTTCTGCCCCAAGCCCTGGTGTCAAGAAGGAGCAGAAGTTCCTGCATGCCCTGTGCCAGAGCTCCCCCCTGCCAGCTTGGGGGTCCCTGCAGGGGAGGGTCAGCTCCCAGGGGCGTGTGCCACCCACCCAGTGACTGCAGATCCTTGCTCCACTGCTGGGCTTCTATTGTGGCAGCTATTCTGTGTAAGCCCCAGCTCCAGAAAGCAGTTTGTGACTAGATGTAATGGCTGGCAGTGCCCCTGAAGTGCCAGGAGACAGATGTTCAGATTCCAGACTGGCACAGGGAGCTGCACTGCCCTGCCCAAGAAAAGGGTGTTGAGGGTCATGTCTCAGGGGTCTTTCCTAGGTGAGCTTGTGCAGGCTGAAGTTTGTAGAGCTGAACAGCCACAGTTTGTAGAGCTGAACAGCCAGCACAGGAAAGCACCATCTCAGCTTTCCTGGGCAGGGTTTTCCTGTGCAGAGCACCAACCTGTGCCAAACTGCAAGCTCTCATGGTGAAACTGAGGATACTTTGGTTTTGAAGCAGAAGGGGATTCTCATTGCACGCACCTCTGAGCAGACACCTGACCCCTCTGTCATGGGACAACACCACARTGTTGCATCAGAAGTTGGCAGTCAGGCAGCAGGGTCCTGGTGAGGCTTTGTGGCCCCTCTTCTGTTTGGCTGCCACCGTGAATTGCTGGGAAATGTTCCCCAGTCTCTTATAAATGCAGCAGTCATGCAACRTGTCAGAAACTATTGTTGATGGCAGTTGGTACCAAGGTGGCCTCGACTGGCGTGCAGATGTGCTCTTAGCCAGCTCTTCCACATGCTTCTCATGAGAACGGGAAGAGCTGCAGCCATGCTGGTTTCAGGAAGGGTCTGGTCCAGCATCTCATGAAAAATGAAACACCTGTGGTTTTGGGAAGTGCCGCATTTTTGACAAGAAGTCGTTTTTTCTGCTGTCCAGGCAAGACTGTGCTGAAGTTGCCAAAATGTCAGCCTCTGTCCCCCACATCCCGGACCAGGCAGCCTTTTCCCCGCCAGTGCACCCCAACCCCACGCAAAGGAGGGAAACCTCCCTCTCAGTGCCAGGGCGGCTCTTTGATGCTGYCAGTGAGTTTTTCTTTAGCCACCAYGACAGGCTGTGTTTTGCAGATACCTGCCCCATGACGGGCACATTCCTCAACTGCATAGCATCCACTCAGCTCCGGCTCACGCAGTAATTAGCCAAGTGTTTCCTGGCTGCCTTTAATTACAGCCACAACTATTTCCCTCACTCTAATGTAACACCTGTGAATGACAGCAAAGGTTTTGGGCCGCATCCCACGCGGTCCCAGCACGTGTTGGGACGCAGCCGTGCACTGGCAGACACCAATTTGAACCCAAAGGGCTYGTACCCCCTCAGTGAGTCACATTTTTCATTTTCGACCTCAAGGCCATAATTGCCCACAYTGGGAATTAGCGGTGTCTCCGCAGTACCCAGCTGAGAGGCACYGGGCTTTATAAACCAACCAGAAGGGCAGGATCCTCCCTAAATCTGTGCTCGAGTCTATCTCGGCTGTAACTCACCCTGTCCTGCGGCAAAGCAGCTCAGCTGGCATGGCCACATTGCCCAACACTTTTGGCCCCTTGACACTTCCACAGTGACGGCAGCAAGATGGACATCAGTCCTGCGGCTCTGTGCCGGGGACACGCGGTCTCGCATCGCTGCGTTTTGTGGCAGCTCCCAAATCCACAAGCTTTTCCTCACTGCCCCTCGCTAACGCTGCTGTGGTGATCCTGGTGGTTTTGCCGTAGCTGAATCCCATGGAATCAATGGTGGGAGCACACATTGCTGGCTCAGGGGCCRCCAGAGACCCGGGCAGCAGCTGCCSGGCTCGGCCTCGCRAGGCTGTGATCTATAAYGTGCATTGTCTTTTTATGTAATGTGTTTTATTAAACATCTTCTAAAGCTTACAAGTGTCCCCAGGACATAACTCTCCAGCACAACCTAATGCTTTGCCAAGTAATGAAGTATGATTTATGGYGGTAATGGTTATCCTATGTTTTTTTTAAAAAAATTATTACAGCAATAGCTCTGTCGAATATAGGAATATAACATGCTGCATTTGGCACGTTTATGACAACAGTGCTCTGGTTTTCTTAACTCCACAGTTCGGTGTTGGCAGTATTTCAAATTCTTGAGACAGATGTTTAAATGAATTTTTTTAAGAGGACAGTGAAATACTTTTAAAACATCATACGGTGCTGAGTGTCTCAATATGCGCAGGAACGTTATTTCTTTAACATTCAGGTAGGGCAGGGCAGCACATGGCCTCTCTGGTTTAGATCTCACGGTAAATGATGGAAGTAGCAAATGTTGAATTAGCTTTCTGGGGCATCCTGGTCTGCTGTTACTCTTGGGCTGAGGTGGGGAGGGAGGTGCGGACACTTGACCTTCCCCTGGATTTAGTGCGCGTTCACATCTCCTTTGTGAGTGTTTGCAACAGATCCCCGTTTGTTTTGAATGCAATTCCCACCATGCCGAGACAGGACTAAGTGGTCTCACACTGACATTTTGAGTGTGTCATTGTGGTCCCGGTGGTTAGGGTTTCAGGCCAGAAATGACAATCATTTGGAAAAATGTAAATGAGAACCCTGGTCATATATATCTGAGGCAGATAGCATTCACGTATTTCCATTGAAACACTGAAAACTACTGGCTTTTTTTTTTTTTTTTTCAGAAGGTACCGGCTGAAACTGAGGAAACCTCTGTAAAGGTACCGGCTGAAACTGAGGAAACCTCTGTACATAACAAAACCAGGGTTTTCGGCTGTGGCGTTGCTGTTTGCAGCTTTGAATGAGGGAAAATCAGAACCCACAAAGGCAGGAGTCAGCACTGCTGGAGACACCATCGCCCTCGGCACAAAGGGGTCACAACCGGGATGTGCACCCAGTTGGTGCAGAGAGATTGAAGACAAGGGAAGCGTCAGTAAAGCAATGAACACTTATATTTAATTTACATTTGACAATTTGCACATAAATAATGATGTAAACCAATACGTAAACATATGATAGTTTGTTGTTCTAGCAAAGTAAAAAGCCTGTTAACTTTGGTCAGAGTCTTTCTTAAGAGAGACAAAAAACCCCCAAAACACTGTTGATTGTTGCTACATTCACATGTAAAACGTCTAAGGGAAGGGGGAAACAGTAAAGAGAAGTAACAATTCTTAAAGCTGATGCRTATAAATTCTTGTAAATTTTGTATCAAATACAAGAAAGCACTACAGGCGATAATAGGAAAAGTGTGTGTCCAGTGACAGAGTAGTGATACTTTGGTTTATCCTACAATTAAGTACTATATTTATGAACTATTGCTACATTTAAAAGATGTCAGCCTCACAATTTGCAGGAGTGGAAATGTAATGAACTGGAGTCCTTCAAAAGCTGTGTTGAGAGATGTGTATTTCAGGATTGTTTGGGTTTTTTTAACAGAAGGCATTAAAATGAAGTTTGCTAAAAAAAAAAAAAGATCACCGAAACCTGAATTGCTGAGGTGGACTTTAAAATTTTTTTATGAACAAAAAGAGCTACACGGAGGGGAGGTGTGTAATAATGCTACTTATATTCATGTGAGTTGACTGTGCAACTCATTAGTGGCAGGGCACGATGAGACAAGGGCCTTGTCCCAGCTGACTGCCACCCTGCCCTTACTGGGATTTGTGACCACATCACGCACGGATCATTTTTGGCCTTCAAGTTCTTTCAGCTACATTTTCTGGCTGTCTGTTGACTGACCACCAGCCTCCTTCCCCCACAAAGCAGAGTGGCAAGAGAGAAGGAGCCCTGGCCTGCAAACAGGGTCATTCCCACCAAATTCACTGAGATGCCACACGTGGATGGATGATGACATCATTCATGTGTTTGCAAGTTCAGCTTCACCTTCAGCTGTGCATGTGTATTTGCAAGTGATAAATGCCTAGGTAAAACCTTCTGGTTCTGAGGTCATTGGTTATTTGCAAAACTGGGATAACATTTGATTTTCACACTTAGATGAAAAATAGGTTTTATTACATGGTTTGGCTCACAACTTAAGTGGTATAAATATATATACATATACATATATTGTATAGTGGTATAAATATATCTATAAATATACATGTATTCTTTGCTACACCTCAAACATCACCATATCATCTTTGGGCTTAGCAAAACAAAAAGATAAAAGGACGTGCATTCTATCTTTCCCTGTGCACATTTTGGTTTCTTCTCTAAAGTAGCAAAGCATTTAGGTAAAACAGCATTGTCTGCACCACTGGACACAAGCACTGAGGTAATTGTTGTTCAACAACTTTGCAATGCCCTTTTCTTCTTTAATTAAATTAACCACAAAATGTACAAACACAAATACTGAGAAAAATCTGAGTCGTACAGGAAGGAAGAAAAAAAATTTATGTGCCAGGAAAGGACTTTTTTCCCCACTTCTACCCAGGCAAGTGGGAGAGAAAAATACAAGTAAAACTGAACCCCTTCTTTCTCAGGGAATCTGACCATCCTTTTTTTTTTATCCCTGGAAGGCTCTGGCCAAAAAAAAAAGCCCAAAATAAAACAAAAATTAGAAGAAAGAAATCTGCCAAAAAATCCCTTTTGSGCAGATAATTAATAATATTTGAGTCTTTGTCTTTAAACTGCTTTTGGAAACAAAAGAATGTGAGTGAGATTTTGGAAAAGCCACTTTAAGCTCATGCATTCCTTTGGTCTTAAAATTACACGACAATGTGTGGGACTAGAGCTGTTTTTTAAAAACTTGTGATATTGTCCATGGCAGGTTGGTTTTTGCTGTGTCACGTCTGTTCCAGGCAGAGCTACAGTTAGAAGAATCTTTCCCCTCTCCTCAGAGAGGCAGGGRAAGAAGTTTCTTCCCTGCTTGCTGCTGCTCTGGGCTGTTGATTTGGTTTTTTTGGTTTTTTCCTTTTCAATTCCTAGTGGAGTGATTTGCTCATGAAAGTACACAGCATTTTTTTCCAAACCAACAGACCTAGGATTCTGTATGTCACATGTCCAACTTTGGCAATATGAAAAACCACATTTGTTTAAAAGACATTGGTACATAAAACACATTTACTGAAACCCTAATCTTAGGTTCTTAAAACAGATGTGCAGAAAAAAATATCTACAAAGAATGGTCATAAAACAAAAAATAAAAACATTTAAAGTAAAAATTACAATGAATTTTCCAGTCATTGTAAACATTTTCCTAATTATTGCTTTTAGAATGATTAATTGCATAATAAATTATGAAGTACTATCATTGAAAAAATAATTATGGATAAATGATTGTCTCTTAGTAACTGGCGAGGCAATGCACAGTCCTTTGCCCCTTTTTATGCCCTGAGAAAACAGTAACTTTGGAGTTCCTTCTTTCAGCTGGAGAGCGTAGGGAAACTACTGTAAGCCAAGATTGCTTTGCAGCATTGACACTATGTACAAGCAACTGCTACAGGCACCCTGACTTGCCAAGTCATAAATAAAAAAATCACTTTGCCAAAAAGTTTTAAGGGTCCATTGGTTCAATTGTTTCTTGCTTGACCTTTACAGGTAACAGAGGTAGTGGGTGACCGTGAGGCAACTTCATAATTGACATATCTGACGACTCGTAAAGGTTGCATCCTGAGGAGATAAGCCCATTTCCCAGGTTCCTCTGYAGAGAGACTTTCAGATTAGCTCCTTCCATTTCCCTCCTGAGCATGGCCAGTATATCCTTCTCCACGATCGATGTTAAGTCGATATTGTCCTCCACTTCTTCCAACTTGTCGGCATTGTCACTGATGTCAAACTTCTCGATCTCCTCATTGATTCGGTTCAGGTCCTCCATGGAGAGCCCGGAGGCAGGGGCCACGGGACAATTGCCCTTCAGGTGGACCTGGAGGCTGCAGAGGTGAATGTAGCTCTTGTGGCAGTGGATGCATTTGTGGGGGCGTTCGCGGGTGTGGAGACGCTTGTGCAGCTTCAGGTGCACAAACTGGGTGAATTTGGCTGGGCAGAGCTTGCACTGGTAAGGCTTCTCTCCAGAGTGGAGCCGCAGGTGGGTTTTGAGATTGCTGGTGCTGCTGAACCGCTTGTGACAAACCTAATGTGGGGGGTGGCAGAGAAACAGCGAATGAGTGGGAGGGGATTTTATGGTTTAAATCACAGACACCTAGGAGGAGGAGACGGCAGGATGAAGCAGCAGCTTTCTGTATCTTCACACTTTCTCACAAAAGGGAAAAAAMCCCCACCTTTTTTATTTAAATATTACTGAATGTCATTTTGAGCGTGGTTGATGGCAAAACTGTATCAGGCAGATGTTGCTCTAGCAGGCTGCAGGGAATCGTGCTGTCTCACCAACGCTGCTGCACCAGGGCTGCGCCTGGCTGTGGTGCAGACTCCGACCCTGAGCAGCCAAGGGTTCGTCCCTCAGCCCTCCCTGCACAGTGTATGGGGTGTGCAAAGCCCTGCCATCCCTTCGGCCTCAGAAGGAATCATCTCTCTCTCTATGTTACATACCTGACACTCGTGGGGTTTTTCTCCCGTGTGTACCAGATAGTGCTTCTGGAGGTGAGCCAGCTGCGTGAAGCCCTTATTGCAAGTCTGGCATTTAAATGGTCTCTCTCCGCTGTGTACTCGGAGGTGCACCTAGGGAGAGACAAAGCAATTAACAATTTGCAGTTTCCAGTACTACAACAAAAGTGCTTTCAGATGTTTCCAAAAGTCAGTGGAAGAGCCCCATTGCCAGAATAGAATGTTATCTAGTTAATTAGGTGGAGTCAGTATTAAAACACTCAGCCACGCTTTCTTGCTGGGGGATGCTGTGTTACCCCAGACGCACAAACAGCCTGACATGAAAGGGAGGCCTGACCCTGCTTCTCCTCAAAAATCTACAGGGAGAAACCTGAGCCTTCAAAAAAGGCTCCCATCTTATTCTCCATTGCCTACCTTCAGGTTGGAGAGCTGGCCAAAGGTCTTGGAGCAAACATTGCATTCGTACTTGATCTTCCCATTCTGCTTCTTCAGTGGATATGGGAGGGTTTTGTAACCGGTCACATTCCTCTTACTTTTAATGAGATTCATGGCTTCTTCACCGCCGGTGGCAGCCAACACCACTGAGGTAGGTTTAGGTTGCATTATGTGTTCCGAACTGGCTGCTGTACCAGCGGTGGGGGACCCGCTGGTAGGGCTGCATGGCTTGTCCTTCATGCTGGCAGCAGCGCCCGTGACAGAGAAGGCACTGTTGGGTGCTGGTATGAGGAAGTCTCTGGGATGATCAGGCTGCAGCAATCGACGGCCTCCTTCGCTGGGCAAGGAGCTGGGCAGCGTGGTGGGGGTCAGCATGTGGTGGGAAAGGCTACCCCCGCTGAGCAGGTTGCCGTAAAGAGGATACATCCKTGGGAACAGATTGAAATTGTTGATGCCATTGATATTGTTCAAAGCGCTCAGGTTATTACAGCTCATATTGAACGGAGGTAACAGAAATTTGGGGTAATGGTGGTTGTAGGATGGTAGAAAGGCAGGTGAGAGGTGGCCAGGGGGTGCATATCCAGGATAAGACCCCAATCCTTCTGAGCCATACGATCCATTCAAGTAAGAGTATGGCTCTCTGTGCTCTTGGGAAGTAGGTGCCAGAGGTGAAACCGTGACCCCTGGACTACTGTGAGGGCTTGAACTTTTTAAACTTTGGTCTGGGCTGCTCCTCCCGGAAGGACTCGGTGTAGTAGAGGCCTGGATGGGTGAGTGGGTA